TCAGACTTCCACTCATGGTCGCTAAAGGCCTACACCAGTACGAACTTTGTATAGTAAAAAAAGTACAGCAACCGGATTTACTTTTCGCCGGAGAGACCGGCCAGTGTGACACAGTTTTCCCCCTTTTTTTTTTATTTGCACGCAGGTAACAGCACAATAGACCGATCTCACCAAGCGTTCCACGCATGCGTGACGCCGCCATAACTGTAGTTCGTGGGAGGCAGACGCCAGTTCACGAGAGAGCTCATACCGCCTCGTGCTCTGCTCACGCAGACCTCCAGCAGGGTTGTCGCGCGTGCAGAAAGACTACAGCTCCCACGATGCATGTCGGCAGCGGTGGCGTACTCAAACTAACTGTGAGATCGGTGTTAGTCTTTTTATCTAGCATAGTGTTTCACGATAACTGGCATACCAAAATCTGCGCATCTGCGCTTGAAATTTCCGAAATGACGCGATTTTAAACAGAGTTTGTACGCCACCCGGATGCTAGGTACAGCCCACTAGGCGGAGCAGGCGTCAAACGGGTGAGAGGGGGAGGGCATTTTTTTTAATCTTTTTACCCTCTCTGCTATGACCCCAATGAAACAGTCTGTTCGTGCACCCTATGACGGAGCAATGGTGTCCCGATCAGGACCAACTTAAATAAGGGGGAGACCTGTCTACTGAACGGAGGCTCAGCGCCGGCTCAGTAGTACGCGCATTCCTCACGAACGCTTGTGGTGGCGCTCGGAGCCCCCCTACCTTCCCTCCCGGATCCAGTCCGGGACGCCTTGGGAAACACCGAACCGACGTGGCTACGCCGCTGGAATCTGTGTGTTACGATACGAAAATTTAAGTGTCGGCTCCAACTGCGGGTAATTGGTGCACTGCTGCGTGCCGCTGTGTACCTCGCACATCAAAAAGGGCGAATGATTTCTATTTCACAAATTTCCATCACCAAGTATCCGTTGAATGGATTAAAAGAATCTCAAGAGCGGGTAAGTGTCGACTTTTTTTTTTCATCTCAGTCATTTGGAAAAATAAAAATAATAGCGTCATATTATATTAGAAGAAAAAAGGCATTCAGGACATGTTTCAATGTTTTTTTGTTTTTTTTTTCGTTCTTTTCTTTTAAATGTGAAAAGAACTCCCAATGGCGCCCAAGTGATAGCGGGGGCACTGTCCTATTCTCTCAGAATTTTACAGCAGATAAAAATGAGGAAAATGTGAATTAAAAAAAAAAAAAAACAAAAAAAACAGTGCGGTGCCAGCGATGTTCCGTGTTCGAGATTTATCCGATCGACAAACAGTGCAATTCAAAGCAGACTTGAAAACACCCGGCGACGCATGCACCACCATCGCAAAAACAAAAAAAGTGTGCTTTTTTTTTTGCGTGCAATTCATTTTTTAGGATAATTGCAACAGTTATATATGGCGACACAAGATTTTTATCTGCTACAGACGGCGAGCCCGGTGAACGAAAGGAATACTGCCTCAGAGGGGCCGAGGTGGAGGCGATGGACCCCTCGATATTTTCGCTTGAAAACAGATTCTTCGAGTGCGTGGACAACTGGAAGAGAACGGCACCGTCGTTCAGCGTATTTCTGACGTCCGAGACGCGCGAAGCCTTAGCAATCAGAACGTTGTCTACTGTATTGTGCACACGCAATCTGTTGGACCAAGGAGTCAAGCACGTTTTAACGTCCAAGTTCTCTTCACACAGAGAAGAGTCGCCTTTCTCTGCGGTGGGGCTGAACGGATGCCTAAGGCGCCCTCTCCTCTCTGCACAAAATTGTTATCATCATCATCATCATCATCATCATCATAATTTATTATCCTTGTAGGTTCTCACGGGCATTCCTCAAAGGAGCGGCACAGTTCGATATCGGTGCGCTGCTGCAAAAGCCAGAACTGCAGCCTGCTGCTCCGCCACGAAATATGAAGAATATTTTGCAACCCTTCTTAAAGGAACTTCAGACGTTCCCAGATAAGGAACCACTTTATTGTTTATAACAAATTAAAACTAGTAAAAAACGCAAAACAAAATTTTTGGTAGGTTTTCCAGCTCCAGGATTGCAAACCAGCGCGGAGGCACACATCGGAGGTTTCCTCGTGAGGGCGGCTGACGACAACATTGCCAGCGACAGGTGCTTGCACCAGCTCAAGTCCCCTCTACACAACAGCACAACCGTTACGATAGCATAAAACCTGGACCGTGGGGTACCGCCCAACCCCAGCCCCCGCTTCGTCAACTTTCTGATTACGTTTGAGAGCGCAGCCAATTCTGCCCAGGCGGGGTTATTTGCACCGAGGAAGCCACTGCTGACGTTTACTAAAAGGGTTCTGCCGGCAATTGCGAGCAACCTGCTATTTGCCTGTGGAGTCAACGACTGACAAGATCACAGAACCGGCCCTGGCTGCAGTCGTCGTCAGGAAGTTCACGAGGCCTTTTCTGACGATCATTGCATCAAACATGATGGAGGAGCTCCAGGCAAAGTAGGTCATAAAAGGAAAAACCGACTTCCCGAATTGTGTTGAAGGTGTAGGACTTCTATGAAAAAGCACGCATAAAATTTGTTTTGTAATTAGTGAAAAAAGCTATATATATATTTTTTTTTTAAATTATTACTGTGTGAATCTAATAAAATGAAATATTTGTGCACATAAGCTGCACCAGTGCTAAATAATTTCACGCTTTAATAGACGCCTGTAAGACAAAATCACCGGTTTCAGTATCGCGCCGTGAATCGCGCAGCCTTCCCAGTTCAAATCGATGGGGGGGCTTTGCGCGCCGCCTCGTAGCCGCAACGCCAACTAGAGCTCCAGTAGCTCTCCCATAGGAGGGGCGCGCGATAGACAGGTCTCCCCCCTATTCAAGTTGGTCCTGGTCCCGATGACCGGGCGACCGTCGCCATCGAAGCCCGTGGCTCTAAGTAAGCTTGCGAGTTTAAAACAGAGAAGAAAGCGCGAACGAAGTTTGGGCGCTGCTGACACTCAAGACTGGCGAAGCCTCTCATCCGGGACTTTTCACTCTTTCTAACGATTCAGCGAGGGGGAAAGCACCGGTAGCCCTTTCCCCGTTTCTCTCTCGCCCTCTTTTAGCTCTCACATTGGTCGGCCACAAAACTGCGCAGGCGCATGTTCGAAACGATCATATCTGGACGAATCCAACGTGCTTTGATGCTTCGGGCAAGTCCGCAGTTATTTCCGTTATCATATCTGTGGAGAAATTTCGTGTCTTCCGTGCCTCGGTGGGCTTCAGAAAACCTATCTCTCTCTGAGCAGCGATGTGTGCATGGCCCGTTAGCAAAGCCGCCTCGCGTGAAAGTGCGCGAGGCTTACATTGATCCCTCTGGTAATCTCCCACGTCGTGGCGTGATGCGCTGTTAAACCAGCTTCTTAGAAACAACGGCGCCGAAGTTTCCAAGGAACGAAGAAACTATAATTACAGTTCTTCGACAGTGTATCGATTTCTGTGTCGAAGCGGCGGGAACGCGTTCGGGGGCTTCCAACTCATGCAGGCGCGCGCTTCTCAAGAAACTGCGCGCTTCGCTAATCTTCGTCTTGTTTGTTTGCAGGCTAATAAAACATACCTGAAACGTTTATTATATTTTTTTTTTTGCTAGGCGCGTTTATTTGGAGTTTTATTAATACCGCGTGTAAGTGATTTAACTTTGTAAACGAAACATGCCTCCCTCAGTTCCACAGGCCCTTCCATGGATTCCGAGCAGCGACACGCGGGGCGCGTATGGTCACGTGGTATATTCACAGCGCCTGATTGGCTAGGATGGCTCGTAGCTTGCGCTGCGGTTCATCGTACAAGGTGAAACGAAACATTGTTTCGATCGCGTAGGGAGAAAAAGAACTTCGTTGGGCATTCCGGGCCCTGCATTTTTCAAGAACGCGCCGCAACACCGCCTTCTTATTCCCGGCGCTCTTGAGCTGAGATTCGCGCTGAGATTCGCAAACAAGAGTCGGTTTTCGGACGCGAGAACTTGGGGGGAAGGGGGGGGGGGGGGGGCATGAAAGCGGCCAGGGACGTCAGAACACCAAGCTCTGGTTGGAATGATTAAGTGGGCGGACGGAAAGCTAAATGCCTTTATTTATACTCACTGTTCGAACGGTTTTGAACGCTGAGAGACAGAGGCAGCTACGCCCCAATCGTTTCAAACACGGCTCAGTGTTCTGACGTGCCCGCGCGAGTTCTCGTCTCTTCTTTCCCTCGGTTTCTTTCCGTATTGGCGACTCCAGCGAAATCGACGGCAGCTATCGGTTAGAGGTCCCCGTGAATAGGTTGTAGGGCTTTCGCGACAGGTTCGCTCGTCAACCTTCTCAAAAGAATCAGAAGCGCCCGTCGGCTTTAAAAGACGTACTGAAACTTTACCAATATACGGTCGAGGTTCTTGGCTTTCTGCGGCGTTTCGATTGCCCCGATCCAAAATAGACCGTGTTGGGACGTTGTGGACACCGACTCGTGTTCGGGGAGGAGATTCGCACGTCCCGACCCTAGAGGCTAAGTTGGAAACTAAACCCGCGCGAGGACAGCAACGACGTGAACGGACCGATCTCAGCGGCAAGTCTGGCTACGCCACCACTGCCGCGATGCATCGAATAAATTGTATTCTTTCTGCACGCGCGACAGCCGGCTAGCCCACATGGCGCGTTTTTCAGTGCGTCTAGACGCGCGTCTCGGCTTGGCGCGCGCGCTAAGCGGGACGCGTGCGCCCAGTCAAACCACACGCAGCGCTTCCGCGCAGCGCTTCGCGTCTGCGTTTCCGAAGCGTCTGCCCAACGTAGCCAGACGCGCTGAAGAAACAAATGCAAACATTAAATAGAAATCGCGCGGTAGATGATGGCTACATGCCGTAATATTTAATTTTAGTAATAGTAAGCACTCATTTTTATTACAGTAATCGCAATGAAGCTCAATTTCACTAATTTTCATCCTTTTTAGTGCGTACGCATCATCCACGTTTCGATACGCCATTGGCATCACCATCTCCCGCGCCTAAACGCTGGCCGCTACAGATCAGAAGTTGCGTTGCTGCTGTTATTGCCGATAGTGTCAATTTATTACCTTTGTCTCTCGGATTAATATATTACTTTTAACAAAGCTCTGTGACGCGGACAAAATGGAGCGCGAGCTGGACGTGCTTCTTTTGCGCAAGAGGCTCGTGCTCTTGCAGCTGCTAGTTAAGAAAAGAGCACGAGTAGAGCGTAAATGGTGGGTTCGCCCAATCTTCGAGAAGCGAAGAGAAGAAGGACTTTACCATACTGCGGTAAGCTCCTCTCACGTGACTTATGTGCATTCGCATGCATAACACTTTGTGATTTCTTCACTTCAGATGAAACGTATGAGAGACGGCGACGTCGACTTCTTTGTGAGGTTTTACCGCATGACTCCTCCGACTTTTGATGAACTGCACGACATGGTGAAGGAGGACCTGACACGGCAGTTCTTCATCCGTGAGCCGCTTCCATCGGAAGAACGCCTTGCGATTGCCCTGAGGTATCGTATTTTCAGAAGCTGCCTCTATTGTTTACATGTGGGTCAGATATTCCCGTCTAGGGTGATAGCCATTTCTTTGAGTCTGCCTGCGCGTAATGTGTGAAAAATATGGCAATGAAAACTTCCCATTCCCATCACATAGCCCTTCCAACGAACGACAGCTAGCGACGAAGGTTACAATCAGTCAGCCAAACTTGCGTAGACTGGTCGTGTGAAGTAAGATGCATCAATGAAGTGAGCAAAGGTTGCACTCTGTATTTCATTCTGTTCTGTTGCAGCTACCTATCATCTGGCCAACAGATCAAGGACGTGGCCCTGCTATACAGGGTTGGGCTGGAAACAGCGCGACAGGCAGTCCATGTCACGTGCCGGGCCCTGTGGGAGAGGCTGCACCAACCATTCATGAAGGTATGTTCTACTAACTTGATGTGATATGTTTCACATTTCTTTGTAAACAGGAAAAAATTAAAACATGGTTATACTTGAAGCGAAAAAAGTCAGCGATGTAACTCTATTGATAAAAATTTGTAGTCTTTTATAAAAATGCAAACAGGTGGGTTTATCAACCTACAAAGAAAACTAACAAATCTACTACAGATCGCAACCATGCTAACACGAACAAAACTTTGAGAAAGTTGCAATTCATACATTATTGTTACCACAATTACTCAGTCGGAAAGGATACTTGGTGAGAGATCCGACAATAACCTCGAGAAAAACCTTAGTACGTCATATCTGCATCAGTGCTTCGAGTGCGGGACCTCCTCCTCCAATTTCGGCAGGGGGTAGGAGACCCTCCCGTTGTACCCGAGGTTACTCTGTCTTAGTCCTGTGCTTGGGGAACAGAGTCCTGGTAAATTGTAAGAATACATAGCTGTAGATGTGTCGGTTTAATGTTTTCGAAAAAGAACAAATAGAGCCCCCCCTCGCCCCAAAAAAGCGTTACTTTTTAACTTTTTTTTAGCAGCATTGTGTTTCAAAGTTTGTTTGGGGGGTTGCGGGAGGGACTACAGTTGGGGAGGTACAAATGCTGAAAGCATGTGTGTTTGTGCACCGAATGTTCTGCCAGAGCACCAGCGCCACGGCGTTCATTTTCGTTGCCTGCGGCGCCGCTATCGTAGTCGCTCTTCTATTAACACGCACAGATAAGCAAGCGCCTAGACATTGCATACCCTCGCAGGCGTACATCATCTGTACATACAAGTGCGTGCATCCACAATATGGATGAAGAGGTTCGTCTCAAGGGTGCTTTTGCTAAACAGTTTCTCAGAAACCACTGCAAGAGACGGCGGTAGTTTTTTTTCTTTTCTTTTTCGATTGCTTTACACAACGAGAGTAGGCAATTTAGAACTTTGCCCGTCTTTTGTCCGAACCTGTCATGACGTTTCCCTTCCTTTGCAACTTTGGCACATGGTTCTGTTTACTGTTGCTTGCCATTTTTATTTTTTAGTCATTTTCAATATGTGTGCTTTCTCACAAAACGATAGAAGGGATTTTTTTAATGAGCTGTTTATGCCCACAGATTTATTAATCCAAGGAATGATAGCAGAAAAAAAGAAAGAAAGATGCTTGCTTTAGTGACTATGAAGCACCGTAGTCAACATGTGCAACAGTGGCAAGCAAGCTGCCATGCCGCGCAACTTGTGAGCTATACATACTGGGCGAAAATACAGCGGGCCTCAGCGGGTACTTGAAAATTAGCGTCGGGCCGGGCCGGCTGTCTAAAAGAGCTAGCGAACCGCTGGGCGGGGCTGGGCTTAAGTGACATGAACAGCCTGTACCTGTGCTCGAGCTAGGAGAGACCCCCCCCCCCCCCCCCCCCCCTCCCCCCAGACTGGAGGGGGACTTTAAGCCCTCTCTGCATGTGAAAGAAAGGAACAAAATGGACATGAACAGGATGAGACGTCTTTCTAGGTGCTTAATTTTCCCCAGAATGTAAGCATTTCATTCCAGCAAGCATACTTTCATAAGAATCAATAGATTGGGTTGCTACATTCCATGATAAAATGAAGTGCCGAAAACACATTAAACAAGAATGTTTCGCAACTTGATTTTGTCCTTGTAACTTGCTTTTATCCCTGTTTAAAATTTAGTGACCTTTATTGTGTGAAGCATGCTTCTTCTTTATCACATACCCTCTTCCAACATGTTTCTCTACTCCAGCCTTTATTGGAATATGTCAACAATCGCTCTTTTTGATCTTGGCTGTGGGAACCTTCGCATTTTTGTATGGCCACTTGTCACACTTCATAGGGCATGTTAGGCTCCACTAATGGCTTCTCTTTCTAGCCTCCTACTGAGGCTGAGTGGGTGGAGATCGCGGAGGGGTTCAGGAGGAGGTGGCAGTTCCCCAACTGCCTAGGAGCTGTCGATGGCAAGCACGTTGCAATCACCTGTCCCAAGGACTCTGGCAGCGTTTTCTACAATTACAAGGTGTGTATCACATGAAGAAGATGTCTAAATAAATCATGTCGTACAAATTAGAGAAAGTGGTAAGGAAAAGACAAACTATGAAGTGGGAGAAAAAGACACAGGGGGGCTACAGCTGAGCGTCATTTTTGAAGAAGGGTAACATTCCAGCATCAGTTCTTGAGAAGAAGTCTGTGGAACCTCTCAACTCACTCTTTCTTGAATGCGTGGGTAACATTGAAAAAATAAGGAAGACTATCGTCACTATCCTGAAGGATGATATAAATTGCCTGGCGAGACAGTGAACCAAACAAGGATAATGTTAAGTTTAAAGCTTCCCCCTAAAGATCACAAACCAGGGTCGCTAATCTCGTCAAGCACAACTTTGTGCCCAAAGTTTGCGGAACGCGCTAATTGGACTCGCGCGACGCTGACGTCACGCCGAGCAAGGTGTCAATCATTCGAATGCTCATTTCTTTGAGAGAAGCAGAATGTAGCGAAGTTCATCGAGTCGCGCGTGAGGGGCGCGAGGAGCCCGCTGATTGAACGGCTTCGCCGATGACGTAGCGCCCGTTTGTCCCTACATCCCTACACCAAGCTAAAATTAATGCTTTGCAGATTGTCCCTTGGCGACCGGCTGACGCTCCAAATCCCTCCAAAGTTTGTGTTTAAAAAAAAACCTCGTTTGTCGAAGTTGTCGCTGACGTCAAAGTGACGTTTCCGAACTTTGCGAGAGCCGTGGTTTGAGCTCGAGATCTTCGCTTCGGATCGAGGCGAAGTTTGTCAACATGGCGGTGCCGTACGCTGCGACTGAGCTTATCTTCCGCCATCGTCGGCGTCGCTACCGAGACCACCGGGGACGCCTTTCAACTCCCCGACGACGACTTTCGGCCACAGTACCGGCTATCGAAAGCCATAGTGCGTTGACTCTGCGACGAGCTTCGTTCAGCGCCCGGACTTCGAGGTGGCCGACAATCGCGTCTACCATGACCGTGGAACCACAAGTTCTCTGCGCGCTCCGGTTCTTCGGAACCGGTAGCTTTCAAGGCATGGTGGCGACTGACGAGCACCTGTCAGTCTCCCACATGACTGTGAGCCGGGCTGTCAGAGTTCTTGCGGCTGCCATCGCTTTTTTCTGTAATATCCGAAGAGGTGCTAATAAGCTGGTTGACAATTCAGAATGTTGGAAAACAAACAAGAGCCGGGGTAATTCTAGGGTAGGGTCGAGTCTCCCGGCAGCCGGCAGAATTATTCCCCGGAAATTCTACTGGCAGTCGTTGCTCATTGGCGGTCAAATCAGTTCATCGAACGAGGTGTCATTGACAGATCGTTTCATCGGCACGCAATGTAATCACATGAAGAGATTTTCTTCAGTTAGAGGTATATACACATTCAACATTTTCACACCTTTATACATGTAAGTGGGGTGTCCCATAAATAACCCAAATAACCCTCTAAAAAGTGTATCAATAGACCTTATAAAAAAAAAATGTAAACCTCACACCTTTAAAAACTCATAATTTTTTAAACACGTTCCTTAAAACGTGTGATAATGCACTACACCTTTTTAAGATGTAAAACTACAATACCCCTTCTTGTCAGGCACGTAGCCAGGGCGGGGAGGAACCATAAGGCCCCCCCGAAATCTTCCATTTGCTGAGGCCTCCTCTCCCCCCTCCCCCTCATAGAGCACTTTGTCATGACCGCCCCCCCCCTCCCCCTGAAACAAAATCCTGGCCACGTGCCTGCTTCTCGTCAAGGTGTAATTACCACAGTACATTTCTTTTTTGGGGTGTACACAGTGGCCCGGGACACAATAAAATGACTGAACAAATAAATTACGCAAACGAGTCGCCAAAGAAGTGCGTTGCTTCTTGGCGAGTGTCGAGGCAATTTCAGCCGAAAACCGGCTTCAATACTGGCCGGATGTACGGTTTTGCGCCTCGTCCCGACATCCGGCAGGTATGGGTGTACCGATGCAAATAAACGATTTATGTCTAATAGCACTGCCACCACTGATCTCTTAGTAGGCTGGATCGCGGATATAGGCCTGTATTGCTGGGGTCGAGCGGCACCACCGGCAGTCATTGCTTGACATGAGCTAATGCATGCTATAGGAGAAACGGGAAAACTCAATTTTATTACGTTAGTAGGTTGTTCTCAATAATGAAACTTCTATCGTGCTTCCCCAAATAACAGTTAATATTGTGTGCAAGAATATTAAATGCGTTAGAATACCAATCTTGTTTAAATAAATGTTGTGTGGTTGAGGGTGGAGGGCGACTTTGTTGGGCGTTAACTGTGATGTGTTTAATGAGACAAGGGCTACCGAGAGTTATTGTGGAGTCATACGTGATCTCGGAGTCATCAGAGCTCAGCAAATGATAAGTTAGAAGGCCTTTACTGGGGACATTCGCATCGCATCGTTTTAACCGCTTGTCATAGTACTTCATGGTGAAAGCTTTTTCTTTGAACTGCTGCGAGGGCTTCCGTGACAAACTGAAACTCGGAGCGGCCGTTCAGTCGCTGAACGCGCCATTTATTTAGCAACCGAAGCAAGCGACGTCGGTAAAATCGGTGGTCCTCCGGGCCATTTTTTTTAATCAATGTTCGAAAGTTTGACGAATGTCTATTTGACCTTTAAGCACCTGATATAATCGTCGCAGCACGTCATAAAATACTCGCCCTTGAACACTGCATACAAGCTTCCTATTTTTGCGTGTTTCTCCCTTAGACTTGCGTGTATTGCCTCATGGTGTAATACGCCAAAACAACAAGGACGAAACCGAAGGGAGAACTAGACAGGACGCGGCGTATTGCCTGTTGTCAAGCAATAGCCGCGGTGAGGCCAGTGACGGGCTCCCGATCCGCGATCCAGACTTGCACTTTGAGAGTTCTAATGCATTGCACCCGTGGAGTGCTGCACGGAGAACAGGCCCCGAACGAACTTGCCGAATGCACCGAGTGCAGACTGGTACTGACGCCGTAGGTGTTGTAGAAAAGTACCAACCTCAAACCGAAACTAACACCTTTTTGTTCGACATGATGGGTGGGCATGCGAGAGCGCAGTCGCTGCCATTGTTTATCTATAAACTTTGGTTGCTGCAACGTGTAACTTATATTTGCGATGACTTCTAATTAAGGAACTCGGCTGTTAGAAATATCTACAGACGGCATAAGTTTCCGAAACCAGCTGACTACAAAACAGCATACACTTGAGAAAATTGATGGCACTGTAAGCGCAAGATCTTGCTTCGTTTTAAGCATAGTATAATGAGTGAACCACTGAAAGGATGCGGCTTAAATCTAGTTCTTTGGAACATCTAACAATACGTTTCGTGAGACTTTTTATTTCCCTTGTGAGGGCATTGAAAACGAGACCTTTCTCAAAAAAAAAATAGAAAATACGACGGGGCAAGATAGCTGTCGTTCAAATATGACTGCGTGAGCCTCGGGCAACGTTTTCATGTTTAGACTTCCCGGACGCTGAGTAAATGCGTCACAAGTTTCTGGCAAGGGAGCTTTGTCGAAAATGTTCCACTTTTCACCCGCACATACATGATGCAATATCTCGCGGCCTCTGCGTTTGTCCTGGGCCTTTCATTACACACTGGTAGGTTTCAGCGTCTGCACGGCTAGAAAGTGACTCAAATTTTGCAAATAAAACACGGGTCGTCGATTCCTCCCTTCGTGAAATATCGGACGCTTACAATTCAAGCTCGCGTTTGGGTTTGTGGCCTGCGGGACGCGATTTTGAGCAGAAAACCAACTTTTTCTTTTGGTTCCGCTGTGCGAATGCCGCATCATAGCAGACAAACTCTCGTCGTCTGCTCTCGCTCCTCGCCTGGGCGAGGCATGACGGGATTGTCGGCGCTAGAGAGCTCAAAGACAATGTACAGTGAGCGGCGTGAACGCTCGCCTCCCCGCGCTGTCTCGTGCTCTCGTGCACCGCCTAGAGATTGCGGGGGATTTTTCGTCAAAAGTTGCGAAGTTGAGCGCGCGCAGGGAGGAGGAAACTTTGCGGCATTCTTTTGGTCACTCCTCACGCTACGTCGGAAAGTGAAGAATGTTTTTCTCCACGAGTTTAGCTACCCAGAAATGTCTTTCCACGCACGTAATCAACCAAAATAAAATTTGCAGTATATTGGCTCTAAATTTCTCTGAGGGCACAATGTAGTGAGTCTGGAAAAAAGTCTTGTGCTAACAAATTGAGAACTAATTGATGTTAAGATGTCACCCTCTTGCTTGTGTCGTATTCTTCTGCTTCCAAGTTTCTCTTTTCCTTACCGCAGTCTCGGGTTCAGATCACATTGATTGCACTCATTGTGCGACTTATCCCTGGGCAGTTTGCCTGAGACAGTAAGGTTTTACACGTGTACAGGCATTCCACGACCATATCCCCCACCCGACATTTGTAGAAGAGTTTTTGGAATTTACCACTGTGTCGTGTTGCCTAAACTCAACGTCCAATTGCGACACATTATGTGTGTCTTTAACAAATGCAGACCTAAGATCTATCGGTATACCACTGCTCCCGCCAAGCACATAGCCAGGAGTTCTTTTTTGAGGGGAGGGGGGAGGCCCATCGTTGTCAGTTTGGCCTGGGTGAGGGAGAGGGCGTGCCATCAAATTTTGTAGGTGGCCCGAGAACCCTGGGCCTTGCCTCTGGATATGTGCCTGGTTCCAACATCAACCTCCACTCTGTCTGATGCACACTTCTTTGATGTGCACAATAATCTCGCGAGTCTCCTTCCACCATCAGGAGGCTACTAATTTACACAGTGACATTTGCTGAGTGCTGTGGCCGGCAATTTAAGTCTGTTATTTCAAGTACTCTTCAAAACGCATAGTATTTAGCATAGTTTCTCTGCACAGTGGAATTTCACCTCAAATCGAGTCGTTGAAATATTTTATGGGAAGCTCATAGCTGGTAAAGTATCACATTAAGTTTAATTTAAGACGGGGCAGTCTAAAGGCTTGTCTAGCCTGAAGGTGTTGCAAACTAAGAATATGGAACTCGGTGATGTTGTCCTTACAGTGAATGCTTTGATGAACTAAGTTGCCCTACTTTTGTTTCAGGGCACTTACTCCATAGTCCTGATGGCTGTGGTAGACAGCAAGTACAAGTTTGTGCTTATTGACGTCGGTGCAGAGGGACGACAAAGTGATGGCGGCATTTTCAAGGCCTCCGAGATTGGTCAAGGCCTAGATCAAGGCACACTCAACCTGCCGAAGCTGGGAGTGCTCCCAGGGTGTCAAAAGCCACGCCTGGTACCCTACGCATTTGTGGGCGACGAGGCGTTTCAGCTTCGCACCGACTTTCTCCGCCCATATCCGGCGAAAGGTCTTGCTGATGAGAGGAGGGCCTACAACTACAGACTCAGTCGAGCTCGGTAAGTTCATACCAGAGCTGTATATGGGGAGAATTTGGCCAGTTTATGATCTCGCCGCCATAACGCCCCTCTCCCAAGTAAGCCAGTCAGCCTGCGGCGCAGAGCGAGAGGAATGAGCGCATGCGCACGAACTCCCGGCTGCTCCCAGCTGTGCGGGGAGGGCCACCATTTTCATTCATTCGTCCGGCAGAATAAATGGGATTGACATCAAAATTTCGGTTTTCTCTTTTGATTTGGCAGGCTCTGGCAAGAAAATGATATAGTGTTATTCCCCAGCGGCTTAAAGAGCTAACGAATAAAGTTTCTCCATGTTTAGACGCAAACTTTTATTCAGGCGAAAAAGAAATAAGCTCGTAGTAGACAACTTGTAGCCTCAACAGTGCTTGGCGCGCCGACAGCGTCGCATCAAAACGGCGGTAGTCTTTTCTTTGCTCCCTTCTTTCTCTCTCGCTCCTTCGTCACTCTCCTCCCCTTCTTTCACTTTTCTCCTCTCCAGCACCTTCGTCGCCACACCCACTGGCCAGATTCTCCCCATATACGGGTCTGGTTCGTGTTGCACAATCAAACCACCAGACACAAAATTGTGGTGCAGTGCATGTTTTGATCATAGAGTTATTATAATGTACGCTAGAGGTTCAAGTGGCGCTAGTGTGCTGACGCAAATTGAAGCAGACAGCAACCAGTCGAAAATTGACTTCCGGTAATACATTTCTATGGGAAAAAGTGAGTGCATTTTCTCTCTGCGCTCGATCATAAGAGCAAATATCCCGAATAATTCATACGCAATAGGTAGCTTAGAACATTTCTCAGTAATGCCGACGAAATATTTGGTCAGTTACGGTGTTTTTCTTTCAAATTCATCGCATTAAAAACGGTGCTAAAAGAGCTTCGTACGTGTATTTATGTGCACTGTCGGACACTGTTAGCGCGAACACGACGTCGGCGCTTTTCAGCGTGGGGGATATACGTGCCAAACGAACGAAGAACATCTGGAAATTAAGAAAGACGGCAAGAACTACGCAGTAACACCGGATCAGAAACATACACGTGCATATACAATCAAAATTAATTGAAGGCCACGTAATCTATTCCTATTTTAAATAAGTAAGTATACCGTTTTATTCTTTCTGCTCTGGGCGAAGCTGCTTGTTCTACGTTCAAAATATCACTCGCACGCTCGAAATCTTTGAGAACAAGTGGCCGATAAAAGCTGCCCAGCAGAGAAAACAATACGAAGAGACAACTTTTATAGCCCACGGACTTTATTCTCTACGTTTTGAATGTTTTTGTCCGCTCATGCACGACGGGGTCATTTTTATATAGTGACAGGACTGGCATATTAGCAATATATAAGCGTCACCGGATTGCTGGCGAGCCTTGAACACACTCTACATTCCTTTCGATTGTAATTTTGCTTCGAATCGTCGCTTGTTTTTACACACCTGCTGCGGAACACACGTTTGGGACTGAAATGTAGCGAAGTTAAACATCGGTCACTGATGAAGAAAAATGCGCTAACTAAAGCAATACTTTTACAGTGTTAATCAAGGTACATACTATTCGGTACGACCCAAATAACCAAAGTGTTCCGTGTTATTTTCCGGCGAAGAGACAAAATGCACGCGCGCTTTCCCATAGGAATACACAGGAAGACTGGAAAAGTAGACTGGTTGCTGTCTGCTTCAATTTGCGTCACGGAAGTCGCATAGACACTAGCGCCAGTTGAACCTCTAGCGTACATTATAATAACTCTATGGTTTTGATAACTGCTATAGATAAGAAGTTGGAGTCAAGATTAATGAAAATCTTTGCACTAAGACAAGCTTGCTAAATTGGTGAAATCTGAGCACATGAACACAGTCTTAAAAGGACACTGAAGACAATTTGCATGTTCTATTTAAAATTGAAGTATATGTCAGGAGTTTCCCCGGCTATGTTGACCATGTTCCAACCGAAACTGAACTTCCGTCTGGTACAAATCATGAAAGCAGTCCTCTTAATAGTCATACTGTGAGCAACACTTCTCGGGGTATCTAGTGACCGGGAAAACCGGGACAAACCCGAATATTTCGGAATATGCAATTTGGATCAAGCCTGCAGAAAATTATCCTCACAGTGCTCAATTTCTTGTGTTGTAATTGTCTTGTATATTTAACCAGATTGTTTTATATATTTAAGTGGTCAGGGAGTTTTGCCTGAAATTGTCAGGGAATTTCAAAATAATAAATTGCTAGACACCGGGCTTCTATTTTGGGGGACGAAAATCCAGTTAGTTTTGATTTTGCTAGTTTATTTGCAGATGCAGGCACAGGAGTTAACAAAAAGGACAGCGACACGTTTCGGCGCATTGCAAGTCCTGAACATCTTGAGAGTGGGCTATCCAAGGAGTTTATTAGTACTAGGAGGGGGCACATTGCAATATGTGTGAAGCCCAGTCATAAAAAAAGTTTAAACAATGTTGTACCAAACTTGACCCAAGATCTCTCTGGCAATTGGTGCACGTGACATGTCACGTGCGAGATGGATGGTTGATTGTAGCAGGATTCCTTGCAGGCTTGCGCGCGCTCCGTCCGGTAGGTTTTATCAGATCGAAGGCTAGATGTGAAGCAAGCAGCTCCGTCCGGTAGATTGCGTCTTGGGCCGATAAGTGAGGAGTGTAAGGAGGAAAATGAGAAAGGCGAGGCGTCAAGGGAGCTTGGATTGTGGAGGCTACACGGCTGACGTCATGCCCCCTCCTACCCTTCTAATCTTCCAATCGACAACACTTGTTTGTCGATTGTGCCCAAGCACTGCAGACAGTGCCAACAGGGCAAGCCGTCTTGAATTTTCAACTTCAATGACCTTGGTCACACGGCAGGATGCCGCGGATGACCTCGAGCTCGGCATACACCGGATGTGCTCAACTCGGGAGCTCATCACTGCGCAAACTTCCACCTCCTCCTCTAATTTCACTATCTTGAGTTTAGCGCTCTAGCAGCATTGTAGTCTACTACGAGGAGGAACTTTTTAACCTCGCGACTACAGAAAGGTGCACCTGCCTTGCAACAGAAATTTTGCCATCTTTTTTTTTCTTTTTGCCCCCAATAGTATTACTTTTATAACTGCCTCTTGTGAAGTGCTCAGCACATTTAAGAAACTGTCGTAGGATTTTGTCTTGCAATGATTTTGTGAATCGATTTACACTCGGGTTTCATCATACACATTTTTTAGTCTCAAGTCTTTCATAAATTGCTTAGAAGTGCATCCAGTTTCCATGTTTAGAACATCTGTCAGTGTTTCACTATTCCTTTTATTCCAGTGCTATTGTGTGCACACTAATCACTTTAATAACTTCTGTCAAACAGGAGGTGTGTGGAGAATGCCTTTGGGATCATGTCCGCCCGGTGGAGAATTCTCCTCCGGACAATCAACCTCCTGCCAGAGAACGTCGATTACGTCATCAAGTCCTGCTGTGTCCTGCACAACTTTCTCTTGGCACACAGCGAACACCCAGCAGCCTATGCTGATCAAGACGACAACATGGGAAACCCCACGGCAGGAGGGTGGCGCCGCGAGATCCCAGACTCAGCGAGGGAATTGCTGTTTCCGCTGGAGGCCACACGTGCACGGAACTTTGGCGATGATGCAGACTTCGCCAGGAAGATGTACATGTATTATTTCTGTAGTCCTGCTGGGGAGGTTTCCTGGCAGTGGGACCAGCCTGGCGTGAACAAACAGGTTGCACGAAGCAACCTGCGAAAGCTCGGAGTCCATGTGAACCTCATGTAAAATTTTGAGTCAAGTTGACATTTATTTGGCGAACCTCGGAAGACACAAAACAAAATATTAACTAGATTCTGAACTTTAATAAACACAATAGACCATTCGCAATATCCCCCAAGCGCCCTGGCCCATGCTAGAGGAATCATGGGAACGGTGTCCCTTCAGCTCCTTAGTGATCGGTAATTTCGACCCAATTTATGGTTACATAGCTTTTGAGTGTAATTCGGAGTCACCCTGAACAAGCGCCTGATATACCCTAAGGCCTTATCATATCGCTCTTAAAATTTCTTAATGTCAGCGTTTTTGACACTGTGCATGCTGTCCACCCTTCAACCTGGACGGGCTGCAGAAATCTCTTGCATTATTATCATTTTCGTGATATTAAGTTGGAAACTTTAAAAATGCTATAAGCCCCACTGACTCCGAGCTAAATCCTGGTTTTTGTTGTTGTGAATTGTCGGCTTTTTAAACCATTGCCGCTAAAACAACAATCACGAGAATGATAATATTGCAAGAGATTTCTGCAGCTCGGCCAGGTTGAAAGGTGGATCGCATGCACAGTATCAAGAATGCTGACATTCACGAGCAATTTGAAAAGTGGTACGACAGGTCCTTGGGGGTAGGGTGATTCCGAGTTGTGCTCAAAAACTGTGTAACCATTGAATTGGTCAAAATTGGCAATCACCAAGGAGCTGAAGGAACACCGTTCCCATGATTCCTCGAGTGCGGGCCGAGGCGCTTGCGAATATAGTAAATGTTCTATAGCAAGAATCGTACATCATCAGAAAATATCGTAATTAACAGTACATTTCTGAACAACAAAATTGCAGCATAAAGTGAATGTCTATACTCGTCGCCTCTACAGCTGTAACAAAAAAAAAAAAAAAAAAAAGGATGGAGTTGCATGTTCAGAGATAACATTTTAGGCTATCCGTTGAGTGCATGTGCCCCACGGCAATGACTAGTTAATTTGACTAGCCATGATTATTTCAACTAACCTGTACATGCAACACCAAGTCCCAATTACATTTCTATCCATTTGCTTCATTAGTAAGTTGCTGTTTGAAGGCACTTAGTAGATGCTGTAGGTATATTGATTCACAACATCTTGTCAAGTTTACATATTTCTCACATTGCATATTTTGTTTTGAATTTATTATTGCACTAGTTGTATCAATGTATTTGAATTCTTGAATAAATATTCTGTATATAGATGTAACTTGAACATATCACCATCTTTGTAAATTGCCTGCTGCAGCAGTACAGAATCCACGACTTAAAATGGTAACAGTAACAACATACCAGGTACATATAATCAAAGTGAAACTCGTAAAAGAAGATTAGTCTTGACAACTTTCATTCCTAGAAATAAGATATTGTTAATAGTATGAAAACATTGCTTGGGCACACAATATGCTATGCAGCAATCTTACCAAAGAAAAAGTTGTACACAGGTAATGTATTGCACACAACAGCCTCATGTCTGTAAATGCCTTGCAACTGTAGACTAAATGCACTGAATGTTACATTCCACTATTGCACCCCCAGTAGCTTTTAAACATTAAAAATAGAACAAAATTAAACCAGGTACCCTCTTGGCAGCGCGAAGTCCCACTACAGACAGAGCAATTTACACATCCTCGAGCTGAAACACGGAATTGCTGGAATTGATCCGGCTCGATGCCACCTATACCCGTTTTCACCTCAAGAAAAAAGGAAGTTTTGCTCCATGTTCCTACGCCGCGCGAAGTAGTTCTCACAAAATTTGGTCGTCGGAGGAAGAAGCGATGCTTTTGGCGTTTGAAACGTGTACGTCTTGATAAGAGAACACATATCTAATCTAAAATACACCTACATATGTCTCAAATCTCAGCGTAACGAGGGAAATTAGTAATGCTCCGCAAGGAGCCAAACTTTTTTTACTATGGTTCTTGAGGTGAAAACGGGTATAGCAAGAACGGCGGGATTACTAGAAAAAATTGCCCCATCTGAAACAAGCCTAAGTTATCTAGTCCTGGCAGTCTTCGATAGCCTGCAGGATGTTTTTACGCATTCTTAACACCTTAGATGGATGAATAGATCGCATTGGATCGCACAACGATAGGGCAAAGTATTCATGCGCATCTGGCTTCTTCTGGCATGCAACACTAGAACTTATATTTTGGAGCTCCGTCAAGAGCGGGTCAGGATTGCTCTTTTTTTTTTTTTTTTTGCGGCTCGTTCGTAGCGCCACTGGAAAATGCTGGAGGGAATGGGCTTCCCACCCCCCCAGACTGGTGCTCCTCGTCCACTTCATACACTTCGACAATGCAAGCCTCCGGCTCCGGCCCATCCGCTGCTCCACTTTCGTCTAAATAGGCACCCTCGTTCACCGGACGGATGAAGTCGTTATTACACGATGTGCCAGATGTCTTCACGTTTCCTGACGTGCTGTTGATTAAGAAGAAAAAAAATTACTTTAATAAAACAAACAATCAGTGCCACACATCAGGGGCACAGCCAGGAATTTTCGGGTAGGGGAAGGCTAGGCCCACTAGTGCAGTGAACGATTGTGTGAAGCGCTTCGGCAGATTTCGCTGAGTTAGCATGAAAAATGGTCATAAGTCGCTGCACACTGCTAAAAATAGCCCAATTCTATTTCATTCTTTCTGTACCTTTCATCACCCTGAGTATTAACCAGTAGAAAGTTCACATTGTGCAGGAAGCTTATGCTAGCCGAAATGTTCGATCGGCACAGCTACTACGCAGCTCCAAATCTACTCAGACCTTAGTGTATCAGAACGTTACTAAAAGCGCCGTAAAATTGCGTAATTATAATAATGATCATGTTTATTTGCCCTCGGATGCCGGTGACAGCAGAAAGACCGAAGGGCCATACCAGAGGCATGCACACGTGGAATCTATGAGTGGCGATCTATTATTTGGGGACAGCGAAGCCTGGACGGCTATCAAATAATTTAATCAAATAACACTATCGGAGAATTCGCAGTGCACGCATTACCTTCGATGCTGCAGGGTATCTCGCACGAAATACATCTGCTCGAAGTGCGGCCACGACATCGGGTCTTCGACGTCGTCGGCGCCGGCACCGCTCGTCCTGGTTTTCTTCAAGTCGCGCAGCAAGCGCACCAGCTTGTCCCGGAGTGATCGCCAACGTTTCTGGACTTTGTCCACTAAAATAAAAAGAAGACTGAGATTGAGGCGGGCACTTTCGTTGGTGAAAGTTAGGACTTACCGCGATCCTTGTCTCCCGGCAGAAGGAGATCGCCGAGTTCACCCCAAATGGCCGATTTTTTTTTTGTATCCTTATAATCCTTACATTCCGGCTGCCAGAGCGCAGGACGCTTTTCAACTTCACTAATTAGGCGTTCGTTGTTCAGTGCCATTTTCGCAAGGCCGTGGCAAAAACTACAATAGTCCTACAGCGGTGAAAACTGAAGAAACTTCAAACGCTGCTTGCTACTAAACACGGCCGTTCATTGGTTGTTGCCTGCTGGACGCAGCGGGAGACGCGCCGCCTGGACGCAAAATATCTGGCTCCTCCAGATACGCCGGAATGCGCCTAAAAACGCTGCGTTTCGTCCTTGCGCCGGAAGTGACGTCAAAGCGCAGGCGCAGACGCGACGCAGACGCGGGGAAAAACGCACCATGTGGGCTAGCCAAGTAGTCTGCGCGTGCATGCGTCTCCGACGCTGCGGACAGCTGCGACCAGCTGCCGGCTGTGAACTAAAGCTATGACGGCTTCGCGCATGCGCGGCGGACGCTTGTTGAGATTGGTCTGTAATTTGTGTTTCTGACGCGGCGCTCAACCGACGTATAGCCGCGAACGCTGCACGGATCAGCGTTCGGCAGGAGCTCGTGTTCGAGTGGTGACGTACCAATTGCGCGTCCCGGGATCGATCGAAGAAGATGACGAAAAAAGCATCCAGTCCCGATGCCTTTTTTGTTGGGTAAACGCCGAGCTCTGGAGAAAACAAGCTGCACAAAGCGCGTCGTATGTGAACGGTGTTTTTCTTTAGGCTTTGCAAGATTTGTTTAAAAGAGAGCCGGGAAAGATGCACTAATGCTGATTGTGGACGTGAGTTTTACGACCAGGGCGCGTAATATGGTTGGATAATCGTCGAGATGAGTGGGCGCATTAGCTCAAATGTATTGATTAACTTTTTTTTTTTTTTAATTAGTGAAAACAAACCTGCGCGGTTTCAATGGGAAACTTGCTGAGCGTCATCAAAAACCACGAGAACTAGACAATTTTAGAAAGACACGAAGCACGTTGAAAGTATACGGTGGAGCACTAAATTGATCACTCGTGCGGCCGGAGCAAGGCTTGTGCGATTATGCGCTCGCGCGATTTTTTCCGCCGCTTATCATCCCCGTTTTCTCGCTGCCAGCCTTCTGACTGTTGAACGAGTGGCAGCTAGCTCGAAGTCTTTCTGAAAATGACTGATTTAGTGGTTTCCGATGATGATTAAGAATTAAAACAGCGCAAGGACACGGACAAGAACAAGAAGGTAGACGAACAAGGCGATGATCCTCAGCAAGTTTCTAATTGGAACCAAATGTTTATTTTCAGTTATTAAAAAGTTAACTAAAGAGCTTTAGAGAAGCAGCCGATTTATCGTAAGAATTAGCCTCCTGCTTTATGTCCCCCTTGCCCTATAACTCGTCTGCACAAGCCAAATTTGTATAACTCTCGCGGCTTTTTTTTCCTTTCTTTTTCTTTTTAACAAATATGTAAAGCTTAAATCAAAACACTCTTATTACAGACCGATATCGCGGCTTTGAAACGTGCATTCGGTGAACTAGCGCTCGTGCTAAAAAGGCACGCCTCAAAGCACCGAGCGCGGGCGCCCTTATAGCGTTTGCTGCCCTGCAGCTTAAACGAAACAGAGTATAGTACTAGCTACTCATGAGCAGATAGGAAGGCGCGAATGCACGTGCGTCCTAAAACATCGTAAGGGCGCCACGAAGCTTCAACTAGTTTCAACTTTATATATATATATATATTGCAGCAGGAAAACGCGAGCATCCACCGAAACGCCTTTTTTTTTTTTCAATGTCTTTTGATTAATTTGTTATTAACAATTCGTTTTTAATACTTTGATCGCTTGCTTTCTTATTTTTTTTTTTTTTTTGTCATTTACGTGAAATCAGACACGGGGAAGGCGAGCGCGCGCGGCGTGTACCTACATTCCCGGCATTCTCGTTGATGCTCGGGTAAATTAGCAATATCTCTATTGGCGCAGCAGCTGCTAGATGACGTACGCTCTTGGAAAGGGTCTATTGGCATCTCGAACGTTTGTCCGTGTGTTGCGTTCACACACTAACGGCGACCGAGTTAGCGTCTTTCCAGCAACGCGAGATGTGGGGAGTGGGTGAGAGGGTGTTACCCCGGGGGAACAGCGGAGCCCACGGGGGCCTGACGATGATTGAACAGCGGTCGGATCAATAAGCCCCATCCGGGCTGCTTCGCGCACTCGCGTTCTTCCTTCGTGGCCGGACGCACAGAAAATCCTCCCGTAGGCCTGGACTGGGCTAATCAATCAGGCCCGCGGCCGCGACTGCAGCCGCCTAGTGGTGCGAAGGCCATCATTTAGCACTGTTACATTTGCCAGTCCTCCCTGGTTACGCAATGCCCTCTGAAAATGGCCCGTAAGAAAGGCGGCCCTGTCCGGCACTAGAGCTCGAGGACCGGCAGCGGATGGTTGAGTGCGAGCACGCCGGATCGGGGCGGTTAAAGGAGCCCCTGGGCTATGGGTGCACCGACCGGAGACCGCAAGGTCCTCCCACTTTTGAATGAATAAAATTTATGAGAATGACGACGAAAGAAACGACGCGTCGTTGTCGCTGGATCTGACGGTAGCTGTGTGCACGGAGATTGGAACCAGTCTGTATGGAACGGCTTTCCATTGAAGGTCGTTCCTGAAACACGTTCCTTGTAAAAGTAATGGAGGAACGCTGCCGTTTCGTCTCGCATCGGTGCAACTGGCACCCCAAATTGTAACAGCTTGAAGATGAGCTAGTTGCTTCATTGTAGTTAAACTGAGGAAAACTATGTCGCGCTTTTTTTTCATCTTCCTTTTTTTTTTTTTTTTTTTTGCTGCGATAGCTGTAAGTTGGACGCTTCGCGGGCTTCGCGCCGTTGTACCGCGCTCCATATTCACGCGGGCCACTTTCGGCACTCCGCCAAAAGATTCCGATATGACGTCACGCCGCTAACGTCACGTCGGTCGTGACGTCGGCGCCATACTTTAGTATGAAAGGCGGCCCATGAGGTGACATTGTTGAGTCACGTTGCACAGGGACGCCACGCTACTTAATGACGTCAGGTGACACCATGAGTCACGTGACGTCATAACAGCACGTGGAAACACAAACACGAGACTGCTGATCATAGAAACATTAAAAACAAAATTTAGGTAGGGCTACACCCTTGACACTTGAGTGCGCGGTTTTGGAAGTGTTCTTCAGTGACCACGAGGCGCGGTGTAAGTTTCTGTCCAATAACATTGCACAAGACGTTCAGGCACCCACGCCAACGACATGGGAACGGTTCACGCACACGCGTGCCGTTTCGTCATTTCATGGATTTCAAACTTGGGCTCGCGATTTTCGAAGTGTTCTTCAGTGACCACAAGGCAGTCCCTGTAATAGGTATTCACTGGTCGCCATATTTGTGGGTGCTATATAAAGCGCATGCTCAGAACGAGCTCAAATCAATAGGCCGCTAAGACCGGCACTCTTGATGGTGCAGAATGCACGTTGCAAAAGAACCCTGGAAGTTAGCCATCAGCACGCGCTCAGCAACCACTGTCGTGTGTCTCGCGGCACGATGAAGAAAGTGACAGCCAACCAAGTAGTTCCCAGCAGAACAACCCCCAGCCTTTATTCCGCGCGCGTATATATCGCCAACCGCCGTATCACTGATAAGCGGAGAGCGAGGCGAGTCACGTACGCAGGTCAGATAGTGAATGACAGTCAGTGATGGTACAGCAATATTATGATGATGCGGTCAGGATGACACCACAACCACGCACACAGCTATGGCCGCCAGTGAATACTCCCTATAGTTTGTGTCCAATAGAATTGTTTAACGGGTTCGCGAAGTGCTCTCTACTTAATACACCCTCGCTGTTTCCAAAACGCTTTGGAATTTTTGTTCGGTGTATTACTCGGTTTAATACGAAATGCTTATGTGAACCCTGTATTGTGCGCGCTTGTACCGTTATAATTCATTCAGTCCGTCTGCTCGGAAATGACGCCTTAGCGGCTCAACCCTCGGATCTCCCTCCGCCCAGCCCTCTGGCCTGGCCCAGCGCAGCACAGCTCCCATGTGCGGGTCCTCTTGACTTCAACAATAGGGAGTTTCAGCGAGTCGCTTTTGGAGCACGCGGTTCCGAAATCACGAACGGTGCAGCTGGTCGGTTACGTGACACCGTACGTGAAATTTGACATATTTTAGCGAGTCGTGAAACTGGCGCGACCGTGTAAACGATGATGATGATTATTTGTTTGACCGGTGGTGCCATCTTCTAGTAAACATGGGAAACATTCTGCAACGTGTAAATCCGTGGCGGCTCGCGTTTCCGGCGTACGACTGACGTAAACAAGACGGCCGACGTAGCATTTGCCGGTCGGAATTTCAAGAACTGTGAAGCTAGAGTAAAAACTATTTGAACGACCGTAAAGTTATGTGATGTGTCCCCGTCATCTTGAACTTGAACGATGGTTCACGTTGTATGCCGTCGAATCAAATCATTTCGTCTGCTCGCGGTCGCCACGGCAGCTAGTCTGCCTGCAGATCGCAAAAATTTACTAGCATGCGCAGTTTACAGCATTTACGATCGCTTACCCTTATGAGAAGTCCTCGAAATGATTTGGTTCAACCTCTCAAATGAAACAGACTAACAGGATGGCAAATCACCTTCCGCCGACCTAAGCCTAACGCTCGACTGGGTCGGCGAAGTCAGTAACCGAACCGACCGCCATTTTGTTTTTTAGCCGAGTCGTGAACGGTGCTGGCTGCGTTGAGGTGACGACTCCCATGGCTGGAATGGGAGAAACGAACGAAAAGAGCCTCCCGACGTCCCGAACGACTCGCGCGCGCATGCGCAATGGCGTCGCCGATGCGTTCGAGCACGAACCGTTCGTGTGGAAACGACCTGCTAAAACTCTCTAATATTCCCCCAAGCTCCGACCTTATCCGCGAAGCCTCCCCGGAAGGCCTCACACCTCTAGTAACCACTGTCCGGACATGGGCGGCTATAAAAACATGTTTCTCTCTCTTTCTGGCGTCACACACCATTCTGTCGCAGTGTTTCACCTTACGGGTAAATGAAGTGTTTACACCAATTTTGTGTGGTCGTTGTTCGGAGATTTTGAACTATACGGTGAAACTGTTTATAATCACATTAGCAAATCACAAAAAAGCCCGGAGGTATGGCGAATTTCAAGCGCCTGTATTTGGGCTGCATTTGGCAGCCAATAAAATTGCGGCGTTCGCCGATAACGACTCCAAGGAACGAATCGGGAAGCATGTG